TACAAACATTAGAGAGCAGTGCAAAATTCAAGATATTGTAAGATGGGGAAGACAGCGCAAGAGGATGTGGTACAACCATGTAAGACGAATGGAAGAGAATAGACTCCCAAAAATTGCCCTAGAAAACAATCCGCCTGGTTCAAGACCCCCCGGAAGACCACCTAAAAGATGGAGGGATAGTTGGCAATCTACCTCTCAAGAAATTAACCAGAGGCAGCTTCAGAATTAAACAGATCGAAAGATCTACAAAAAGTAGAAGAAGAAGAAGAAGATATTGTGCATCTACATGCAGGCATTCAAGGTACACACTTCGCCTTATCACAAAACTTTTGGATAATTTCATCCAAACGTGTTATTCGTAGTGTTCTTTCAAAATGTCTTTCCTTTTGGAGACTAAAACCTCAAAATTATCAGCCACCTATGGGGGCTCTTCCCGACGTACGGATATCCAAGGTCAAACCATTTTCTTGCGTAGGCGTCGATTTTGGTGGTCCTTTTCTGATAAGAGCCAATAAGCTTAAAAATGCCAAACGAACGAAAGCCTATATTTGCCTATTTGTATGCTTTGCCACTAAGGCTTTGCACTTAGAATTAGTATCTGAACTTACTACCGAGGCATTTTTAGCCTCATTCAGACGTTTTATAGCACGTCGAGGACGTTGCTCTGTTGTCTATTCTGATTGCGGAACAAATTTTGTAGGCGCAAAATCCTATTTAGAAGACATCAAGTCACATTTTGATAAAAACGACGTCATTACATGGCATTTAAATCCCCCTGCAGCTTCCCATTTTGGTGAATTGTTTGAAGCGGGTATAAAAAGCGTAAAAACACATGTGTCTAGAGTCATAGGTGAACAGGTTTTAACCTATGAAGAATTCAATACATTACTCATACAATTAGAGGTTGTCTTAAATAGTCGTCCCTTATGTCCTGTCAGTAATTATCCAAATGATTTTTCAGTGTTAACACCTGGACATTTCCTTACACTAGAGCCTTTAAAGATAATTCCCGATCGAGATTACAGTGATGTTCATTTAAGTAGGCTAAGTCGTTGGCAATTGCTGCAACGATTACATGCAGACTTTTGGCGAAGATGGAGCAGAGAATATTTACATACTCTTCATCAACGCACAAAGTGGCATAAAAATGAGGGTAATCCTAATATAGGTACTCTTGTACTAATACGTAACGAGACCAAGCCTCCCTTACAATGGCAAATGGGTCGAATTAAAACTTTAATTTTCGGTGATGATGGTATTGCTCGCGTAGCTATCGTACAAACCGCGAAAGGTGAACTTAGGCGACCTTTGGTGAAGCTATGCCCTCTGCCTTATATTGACTAAAAATGCAAATATGCATTTTGGTGGGTGGGAATGTTACGTCCCTCCACACATATTCTTATTTTTATTAAGTATTTCGTATTATTTTATTTTATATTTAATTATTTTATTAACGTGTGTGTATGTCTTACAATCGTAAATTAATACGGCCCTGGACAGTCTACCCCTACTATACTTAAGTAAGGGAATGCGAAACGAGGCTACACGCAAATCAATTACACAAAGTCTTGTATAAATCGGTGCGCTAAACAGTTCAGTATTATTTGTGTAAACAAGAGTCCTTGAAGCCACCCCGAGTCCTGAGCTGTCCCAGTGCACTGTGGAAGAAGCAGACGTAGATCAACATCACAGGTACCGTAATTTGATTGCATACACACACCATATTTATATTAATTGATAAATTTACATAAAACTTATTTACATATTAAAAATAATACCAGCACCTAACTAAACAACTATGTACAAGTCTTTTATAGTATAAATTTGTACACTACTTATGGTTCCCAAACGTGGACATCTACAAAAGCAAACATGGACAAAATCATAAAAACCCAAAGAGCAATGGAAAGATAAATGTTGCACATAAGACAAATGGATAAGAAGAGAAACGAGTGGATAAGAGAGAAAACAATAGTGAGGGATGTTAGACAAGAAGTTGCAAAATTGAAATGGAGATTTGCCGGACATAATATAAGACAAAAAGAAGACCGATGGAACAAAATTCTTATAAGTTGGAGACCGTGGGAATATAAACGAAGCAGAGGAAGGCCCCAAATGAGATGAGCAGATGATATCAAGAAGCACGTGGGCTCTAGATGGATGACTGTAGTGACAGACAGGGAAGAATGGACGCATAACTCGCAGACAGCCGAAAATCAAAGAAATGGTTCTCTATTATAACGGTTTGTTAAGTTTTGCTGAGCTACGTGCACTGCAGACCGATAGCCGTGTACGTCGACGGTGTGCGCTGGAGTCTGCGCACACCGTCAATTTGATTTGATTGACTGCAATCAATCAAAACTGCAATTTGATTTGGACGGAAACGTTCAGCTGAGCTGACAGCGTACACATCTATACCGAAATTATAATTGTATTTTTATATAGTTATTAATATTGTAATATCTAAGTGATGTCTACTAAATTTTCTCCCGATGAAGATGAAAGATTAGTGGATCTAGTAGAAAATGTAACACAGTTCGAAATAAATCCCTGGAAAGTCTAAAATAATCTCGAATTTTTTCCTCGTTTTGAAACAATTTTTCTTCGACTGTTAATTTAAAAACACCTTCTGTATTAAGACATGAAAAAATTTCGTTTACATTTTTATTTCTTTTATTTAAATTTAACGTTATCAACTCTTCTTTTTTCTCCTCTTCTTGGAGTAATAAAATTATTGCATTAAGTTTGCGCGAATTTATTTTTTTTAATGTACAATTTTTGAGAGAATAAACTTGAAACCAATTTCTAAACTTGTTTTCAGAGCGACATAATATTTCTGCGAAATAATGTAACACCCAAAACTGCCGTGAATTGACTACAGATTCTGCTTTGCGCTGCGCACTGTTCTAACAAACCGTGTAGCTTTAATAGATAAAGATACTGTACCTGTAATGTACCTGTACTCTGTACTAGGGTGTTGGTATAATAATTTCTTTTAGATTTTCATTAGTTTATTTATTAAATTTGCCATAATACAGAGGAATTATTATTGATCTTTGAATGTTATTTCAATATATTCAACATTGACAAGACACCTACCACTCAAGTTGTTTATAAACTTTTGTTTTCAGTGAACGAAAATATGTACTGCAAGAAAACTGGAAAAGTTTGTAAATAGAGTTCCGGATAATACTAATGATGACAATTATTGTCTGTTGGACTATAGAGGTAACTCTGATACAAAACTTTTTTTTTGCTTGCAACCCTTTCAACTAAATTCAGCATTCGATATTACTAAAGTACAAATATTGCTTGAATTCTAGCTTAAATATTGGTTTAATATCAAACAAATCTAAATATCAATAACAAACACATTCATTTTTTGATTTTCCAGGTAGCGGTAATGAAGATTCTGACGATTCAGTTTTGGATCCAGATTATTCTGTCGAACAACTTTGTACTGAGAAGGAAAAAACCGACATACTTATACTAATCTGACAGTGATTTAGTGCTAGAAGTAAATAGAAATATAGACTAAGTCAATGTTTCATCTTTTATAAAGTGAGAATTGTTTCAGAAAGGCATATCCAATTTTAGATTATAGTTTATTTTATTTTAATGAGAATGCAAAAGTCAATATCAGCTTTCCAGAAAATGCCACCCATTTGTAATTTTTTAGTACTCTTTTCAATGAAGAAATCTGTGGAAAATTGTGGAAAGATCAAGTATCCATACTTTTAAGCTAAAAATATATTTAGATCATATTGTTAAAGAACTAAAGGACTACATCACCTACGATAAAATCGTACTGGTCAACTGTGAGAAGAATTATTTTACAATGGTTCGCAGATGTCTTTATTGCAAGAAGATTCTTAAAAGTTTTAGGCTATCACACATCAACGACAGGTCAGAACTGTCTTACAAAGGACATACTATACTAATTAAGTTATATAAAATTCTACCACTTATAAGGCATTTCAAAACAAAAATTTATAAAGCGTACACATTATCAGGACATTTTTTATTCGACGAAAGTATGGCCTTGTTCAAAGGCTGAATGACTTTAAAACAGTGCATACTGATGAAGCCAGTAGACAAAACTAATATCAATAATTATGAATAAGCATATTGACATTAAGAAGTAATGAAGATCTGTAGAAGAGTCCTCATTGACTTCGAGATCTATTAAGGCAAAACTAACATAGTGGCATTTAGCCGATGACAAAAAATTAAAATTGGATGAGCCTGATTTTGTAGCAAACGTATAAATATTTTTTTACTGTTTTAAATGTATAGATTTAGCAGTATAAATTTTTACCAGTGAATTACAGGTAGCTACCCAGTGAAAGAAAAATTTAAAAATAATTATTTTAAATTTAATTTTACGATTTTTAAAAATATTCGTCCTTAAAGAAAAATTTGTTCTGCACCTGAAAGTGTTAAAACGATGTCACAAAACTTACTCCATCATCTGTTAAATATTTTTAATCAAAGCAACCAAAAAAAAAATTGTAATTGTTCTCCATTTATGTCGAAATCAGTATACTCAATTTATTATTTATAATTTAAATTAAATTATTTGATCAGAAATGAATGTGGAAGATACAAATAAAAATTTTATAAGACAAATGTACTAGCAAACAAATATCATCAAAATATTAGCAAATTTCCAATAGGGAACATCAGTAAAAAATGTTATATCTTAATAACAGAATATAGCTTCAGAATAATAGTCAAACTATTAGGTGTAGTATAAAAATTCCTAATTAGAGTCTTGTTCGGTTGGTATTGTTTTCTGTACCGATCGCTCAGCAAATGCAATGTGAAGGATATATAAAACATATTTTAATCTGCTTGCAAACTCTTTGAAATAGGCTACCTTCGAATTGTATATTTATACTAGATTATTATTAGATTATTGTATAAATACCTAACGGCATATTAAATCCTACTTATATGCACTAACCGACGTATTATTTTTAAAAATAAAAATGTTCAATAAAATATAAATATTTATTGTCTTTTATTTACATCTTTAAATTTTTTTTGTTTAGTATATATTGTTATCTATGTTAAAGATCTCAATAATCGAAACATGGATATAATAAAAAAAATTAAAAATATTGTAAAAAAATAAAAATAAAATAGCATAGAACACTTAAATATTTAGTTACAGAGGGATGACCATTTTAAATTACAAAAAATATATTTACGACAAATACTTCTAAAACATAAAAATAGGACTCACAGTTCTAATAAGGTTTTCCAATTCGAATACAGTGCGTAGGTGTTAGTCCGGTAGCTGATTACCCTTCTGTATGCATAGAAGGATGGATAGTTTAAAACTGTTGTATCTTATGTAAAAATTTTTGCTGAATACGAGTGTGTACTCAAAATGTGGTACCAATTTTTATTAAATTTTTTTTTATAAATATTTTAATTAATTTTAATTAACATAAGTATTTTCGCCCTGTGCGTAGTCTCCCGCACAGGGCGGGAGACTACGTGTTGACGTTATGTATGCTCATAAGACGCTTATAACTTTTAATTAAGCGACTAATTTTGTGAGCAAGAAGGCCTATTCGCTTTTGCGCAACTAGTTACCATGTAGGTTATCCTAGTGGTTGTTAAGTAATGTTATTTTTGTTCGGTTTATTTTATTATTAATTATTTTATATTTTGTGTAAAAGCTAAATTATTTATTTTTGGTTTACTTATTGCTAACCTATAATTGAGTGAGTTTTAATGAGTAAAGTCGATTTATTTCCCTTAGTTATATTGATTTATCACGTCAACAATTTGGTCAACAGTCAACTCCACATATACGTGATAATAAAATACCAGAATAAACCACAAAGATAAAATTAGTAAGCTTACAGGATGGCTCCACAGGGCACCTCTTCTAAAAAAGAATAACTGAAACAAGCAGAAATACATATCAGTCAAAGTGGTGAAGTCGAAGAAATTTGGGCCAAAATTTAGTCTAATATCTTAGCCTATATCAAGGAAGTTCTTGGTGAAAGAAATATAAATAAAAATAAATAGTTCTCAAGGCGAAGAACTCCATAGTTTTGCACAGAAGTAAAGAAAAATGTAAAGAAAAGAAAAAAGCGTACCTGAAATACATGTCAACCAAAACACAAGAGGCATACCATATTTAGAAGACAATAAGAAACGAAACACAATCACTTGTAAAAAAAATAAAAACTGCTAACTGGAAAGGCTTTTTAAGACAACAAAGAACACAAATTTTATGGTGTGGAAAAGGAAATATGGCACTTTATAAACATTTAAAGGACATGGGTAAAGGAACTAATAGAACGAAAGTACATAGATAAGGACACATGGATAAACTACCTACAAAAGCTCTATGCAGAGGAAGAATAAACGGCGGTAGAATCAGAAACACCAAAAATTACCACAAATGAATGACTTAATATAAATATACAGGAAGTTCGTAAAATATTTGATTCAAAAACTTAAATCTTGACTTCTGTTCAAAGAACAGAAAAGCAGCAGGTAAAGACGGGTTACCAAACGAATTATTGAAATATTGTTAAGCAGCAATGACAAAACAAATTAACAACATTAATTAATAAAATTATAAAACACAATAAAATACTGGAAGAATAGAGAACGGGTGAACTAGTTCTACTAGTCAAAAAAGTAGATAAAAACAGCCAGAAAACTACAGAGGTATAAGCTTGTTAAATACAACAGTAAAACTTACAACTAACATTTTGCAAGAACTAATAAATCAGAGGAAAAGTTAAGAGAATGAACAACGTTTTTTGTAGGTTATGATTATGTATAGATGGAATATTCATTATAAAGCAAATTACTGAGAAATCGCTATAATAAAATTTTTTAGAACAATTTTTTGTCTAATTCACTTAAAGAAACCATTTGACAAAGTAAGAATCAAAGATGTAATTCATCTTCTATATAAAAAAGAAGTTCCCTTAAATCTTATAAAAACTATCTAAAACAACTACCAAAATAACAAAAATGGAAGTCAAAATAGATTGGAGAACTTACAGAACTTGCATTAATAGGAATAAGCTCATTGAGCCCCATGCTCAATTTGTGAAACATTTGTCAAAATGTAAAACAAAAACATAAAAATACTCTGCTACGCAATATTGATTGCCCAAGATGAAGATAGTTTGCGAAGACTGGTCCACAGATTTAATATAAGGGCAAAATAATTTAATATGACAATCTTATCTCTTAAAACTAAAACAATAGTAATAAGAAAAGAAGATTGCGCAAAAGATGGAGTGAGAACCTTCCATAGAGGAATTAATCCACCAATGAACAAGCAGAATTTCTTATAAATAGAAAGAAGAAAAAAAACAAATTAGTGGGTTTGAAGTAGTCCACTTTAGGCGTTGGCCGTAAAGCAAATCTGCATGGCGCCCAATACAATCCTTTCAATTTAAAAAAGAATGGTCAACGAATTCCCTAACTCCACTTAAGCATAGCGGACTACACCTTTGTTGTCATCCGACAGCCGATGTAGCAACTAAGCGTTCGCGCATGGGCGGCGAGTTGTTGCACCTGCATACAAAAAGGTATCCAGCTGTCAGACTAAATAATAATTTTTAAGGTTTACACAGGTACATCAAATATTTAAATAATAAATTAATATCAATTTATGTATTATATATCAATAAATAAATATTATAAGAAATTATTTTAACTTAATTTAAAATATAAAGGCGTTTCTTTTTGGTTTCAAAATACAAATATTTAACAATTATCACAGATAGGGCTGAGACAATTACAGCAACATATACATCTATAAAAGAATCCTCTATAGTATGCGTATACTCAACAAGAAGTTGTAAAATAATTTGTATAATAAAAAATACGATTGTACATATACTAACACAAATCATTTTTGTATTAAAAGGAAATATTTCACTTAAGAGTATAAGAGGTATTGGACCAATTCCTATATTTACTGCTGTGTGAAATAGAAAAAGGATTGGTAAATACAAATAATACAAGTTTGTTTTAGATACAGTCAGTATTAAGAATAATACTAAACAATACGCCATGCCCCCAAAAGATATCATCAGACACAATTTTCTGCCAAAGTGGTCGACTAAAAATAAAACAAAAAATGTGGTCGTCAGCTGTGCTCCACCTAAAAAATAGTAAATAAAGTAATATATATATATATATATATATATATATATATATATATATATATATATATAAGATGGTTCTTGACTGTTGATTTAAATATAAGTTGTGATTTTTCAGGATGCAGTCAGTTTATTTGGCCCAAAAGACAAAGAATACTCTTTGACTTACTGTCAAGCTTTCGAATTATATTTAATTCTTTTTCAAGACATCTATAAAAAGAAATATAAATTAACTAGTTAAAATTGTTAATTGTCTTACTTACTAGTCGTGAGATTACAGTTTTTAATATTGTACTCTACAAAACAAACCATAATAAATATAATAAAATTTTTTTATTAAAAATAACTATATTGTCACTATATGTCATTGTCATGGTTTCATTAATGGACATATATGAATGAAAATACAGTTACTTTATGTGGAAAGTAAAACCAGTAACAATAGTTTTTATTATAATTTATTTAATTGTCTATAAAAAATATAAATTAATCCAGTCAGCAGTTTGGATTAATTAACTGCTGACTGGATTAATTTATATTTTTTATAGACAATTAAATAAATTATAATAAAAACTATTGTTACTGGTTTTACTTTCCACATAAAGTAACTGTATTTTCATTCATATATGTCCATTAATCAAACCATGACAATGACATATATAGTGACAATATAGTTATTTTTAATAAAAAAATTTTATTATATTTATTATGGTTTGTTTTGTAGAGTCCAATATTAAAAACTGTAATCTCACGACTAGTAAGTAAGACAATTAACAATTTTAACTAGTTAATTTATATTTCTTTTTATAGATGTCTTGAAAAAGAATTAAATATAATTCGAAAGCTTGACAGTAAGTCAAAGAGTTTTCTTTGTCTTTTGGGCCAAATAAACTGACTGCATCCTCAAAAATCACAACTTATATATATATATATATATATATATATATATATATATATATATATATATATATATATATATATATATATATAGTGGCCTAAGTGATATAAATTAACACTTTGATATGAGCCAAAATAGTTTACTGAAATTTTCGAGTTATTGTAGAAAATTAAGCAAATATTAAACACATTGCTTAGTTTGCAGCATAATACTTAAAAAATTACTATGATTGTAATGGGCTATAGCGTTATACTAAATAAATTTTGTAAATATTTGTCATTTTTATAACAGTTGGGCCACTTGACATTGGCACATCCAATTAAAAAAGTATCAAATACAAATCAATAAAAGTAAGAATAATTAGGCCATCGGGTATAAAAACAACTCATCCCTTAGAAATAAATTAATGTAATATACCAGAAGAAAATTTAATAAAGAAGAGATAATGACTTTTATTAAACTGAAAAATTACAAATTAAAACTTATTGCTAGTTTTTTCACAACTTGTAAAAGTTGTAATCAAACTTTCACATTTATTGTTTTTAAATGTTTTCATTATACACTACTTCACTGAACAATCGCTCATTGCTCCGTCTAATGTCATGCAGTGAGAGAGTCGGCTAGTTGGTGGTAGAATTGATGATAGATGGAAGGAATATATTCTAGTAAACACAGAAGTGCATAGAACTCTTAATATCATACAGGTGTACGCCCCCACTGCAGATAAAGATGAAAATCAAATATAACAGTTCTACAATGATATTAAATTTTATAATAATTTTAAATTTTAAAATATTATTTTAATTCTAAAATAAAAATATTATTATGGATTTAGTCTAGTAGTTAAGTATTTAATTTTTACTTTCAAAGTAAAGCAAAGTATTATAATCTTCATCATTATTTCCTACGATAGTACGTTTCTTTTGTTCAAATATTTTTTCATTTATGACATGACGATAATTATATAAAAATGTATTTGCCTAAGGAGTCTGTCGATCTAGATAAATCAGCCTATATTCTCTTCTTGCCGCTTGCTTGTTTTTATTATTTTTTTCATAAATTAAAAATATATCTACTTTTTTATCTTCAGTATAACCCATTTCGGTATGAGGACTGACAGTTTAAAATAAATTATTAATTGTTTCATTTTGAAATGTCAGTTGCATAGCCACCTATGGTTACCCTTTTGTAGTACCATATGCCATTATAGAACAAAACTAATGCTACACAATGTTATATATTGGTAATCAGGAAATGCAGGACTACTCAAAACTATAAAAAAATACACGGTGTTCCACTTAAAATATTGAAGATGCATTTTATTGGGCACTCCCTATATACAAAAATTTGGTTTGTTGCTACATTGTTGGTCGGTACAGATAAAATAATAAAACTTTTATTTTAAACCTTTTTTTGTATTCCCGAAATTAAGGAAAATAAGTGGGGTTCAAAATATAATGAGAAACCCAGTACATTGAACCAATGTACAGTGATAGAGTAACATTTAAAAAACAACTTTATTGTTACAACTAAAAATATAAATACGAAGACGGTGTTACAATAGAATCAATAATAACTAATCAGTGTAGATAGATAATATGTCGCAAGTTCATGTAGGTCAGTGTAGGTACCGATTTATTGTTTATCTGTTCCAGTTGATACTGAAAACCATCGTTCAGCTATTTGTACGTAGATAAAAATAGTCAATAAATATTGTGTTAAATAAAGAGTAATAAATAAATATTGTGTTAAAGTAACAAATATTTAAAAACGCTCATTTATCCCTTATATACCAACTGGGACCTTACTAAAATACAATATTTTTGAGATTTAAATAACACTAGCGGACCAACTCGACTTCGAGTTTTGATGTAAGTTTTGCTGATATTTAAGAGGTCTAACGATCCATCGTTTCCGTCGCCTGGTGTAAATGTTCCAAAAATCCTAAAAATAAACTGTATCGACGCCAATTTTTTTAAATTGAAAATACAGTAGTTTTTTAGGAAGATTTACATTAGGAACCGAAACAATATGATTGTTAGACTCCGTACCTCTTGAATGAAAAACGGAAGTAAAACCGGAAGTAACTTTTTTTGCATATCTTAGATTGTAAAATGCCACATTTAAGAAAAAGAACTCGGTTTGAGAACTCGGGGCCCGTCCATATGCTCTGGAACACCGTGAAAGAAGCCATAATTTTCAAAACTAAATCCGGAAGTAGGGAAGTAAATACTTCCGGTTTCATAATTCTGAATTCAATCAGTAAGTATAAGAAAAAAGTAGACGCGGTCATATTTTAAAAATACATTGAAAATTAGGACTGTAAATTTTGAAGAATGAAACCTTTAAAATTCCTATACTTTACTATAGGAAAAATTCATTTTATGGCCGCCATTTTTAAACTGGTTCGAATTTTTTAAATTTGAAACCTTTAGCGGGAATCTTCTCAACAATCTGTTGAATTATTCGAAAAAATTATTCTCCTATCTATCACCGTTTCGGAGGAGTATTGCGCACAAGAAAAGGGCTTAGCCTTTTAGTATATAAGATTACTGAACTACTAATTATCAAGTTGCAGATAAACGTTTCAATAAAAATATGTATGTATACTTCGGTTGAAATAGTTCATATTTATACAAAATAATACTTACTTATAATTAATGTTTTGGCCGTAAGATCCAAATTGATATTGTAATAGGCACTCGTTATATAATTAAAGAAAGTAAAACTATTAATTCCTGATAGTGACCTAAGAATATAAAGTAACACCATTAGTAACATGGGCTTAAGCCATCTATATTTTAAAAAAATGGAGTGCTTAGCTTCCCTGTCGACATGATCTACGTTTTCATTAATGTCATCTTGAACTTCGGTCAATTCTAAATGTTGGTTTAAGGGTATACTTCCTGGATCCACAAAACATGGTTTTCTACCATTTACCTGCTTGCCATTTTTAAAGCAATAGTATGGAGTCTCAGTTATTACGGTTAAAGATAAAATGGCGGAAAGAAATCCCAAAAATGAAGACAAATAATTCGTAAAAGAAAATTCTATGTTTTCTCCAATAAAATTTAAAATTCCTGAGAATAATAAAAATCTTCCTAGAGCATGTGCAGGCCACAAAACAGCAATTAGTCTACCTCTGGAACAATCTGTAGCTACTTCTCCTATGTAAACTGGTAAAACTGAAAAAATTCCACCAATTGATAAACCTGTGAGAAAATTTGCTATACAGCCCACTACATATTCTGAAGTAATTTGAAAAATAATTGATGATATCACTAATGGTAAGCAAATCGCAGTTATGGTGTATCTTCTGCCAATAATTTCGGCTAAAATACTGTATATCAGTGATCCAATTATACTGCCTACTTTTGATGATAATACAAATATAATAACTAGAGAATCATTAACTTTTTCTGCATATAAAAGCCGAAATACATGTAAGCCATAACTGCTTTCAGATAGTCCAACAAAAAGCATCAGCAAGCATCCTGAAAAAAAAAATAAATTTTACTTTACTATAATTACAAGGTAATGTCCGAGTTTGTAGGTAAAGTGTGTTTAGAAGAAAATGGTTGACTTATGGCAACTAGTGTGGTCGTAAATATTATTAAATTTATCTGACTTGATCCATTGTTGAGACCGGTCCGGAGCGATAAGCAAGCGACGTCGAGAGAGTTGGTCCACTGACAATTAACACTGACTAGACGGTACTCCTATAATAAAGAAAAGAATCCACAAAATTTACAGTAATTACGACGACAAAAACAAAAAACGGATGTAAAATATATTTCTTTGCCTTATATACCCAAAATGAATGTTTTAGATCTACTACATATTCTGAAGTAATTTAAAAAATAATTGATGATATCACTAATGGTAAGCAAAACGCAGTTATGGTGTATCTTCTACCAATAATTTCGGCTAAAATACTATACATTACTAATCCAATTATACTGCCAACTTTTGATGATAATACAAATGTAATAACTGGAGAATAATTAATTTTTTCTGCATTTAAGAGCCAAAATTAATGTAAGCCATAACTGCTTTCAAATAGTCCAACGAAAAGCATCAGCAGCATATCATTGGTCTTCATGTAATTTTAAATTTTTAATTTAGTATTATTTAAGTTTGCAGCCGTACTTAGTTGGCGACTCTGATAGCTTGCATTGTCCATTATTACGACGCTATGCTGAGGAATGTTTGGCATAAGATTATTTTTGAACCATCCTTGAAAAAGTTCTGACGTTGTATCTTCACGGTAGTCGACGCAAGAGTTAATACAAGTATTCTTTTCAGAAAGCCACAGGCCATTTGAAACCCAACCATTTTCTGATCCAGAATGTAAAATCGTTATTCTTTTCCCTTTATTTGACGAAGCTTTTGTCTCACATTTACCAGAGGAATCGGCAAATCCTTTAGCTCGCATTAAATATATGTTAAACCATGTCTCGTCGATATAAATTATTGGATGATATTCAGAACGGAATTTTCTTATCGAAGTTATATACTCATAACATTCCATACTTACTTGTCTTTTGTCAAAGCCCATACTTTTAAAAATTTTCCATACGCTGATGAGGCTACACCTTATTTGGGTTTTATCAACTTTGAGCCGTTGCTTTAGAGCTCTTAATGTAGGTATGCGTTGCTCTTTGTACATGGTATGGACTATGGACTTTATAGACACGTCTAGAATCCTTACGTTTTGTTTCTTGTTTCTATGGGATTTAATGTAATTCTTTTTACTATGGTCATCTAAGAGGTATTTTCGTCAAATCGCATATTTTGATCTTAGCGGAAGTTCTGTCAAGTCCCGTTTTAAGTAAGGAAGTGTATATAGTTTTTACAATTTGCTTTGCATCTACAGATAAATGCTTACAAACAAATTTTATCAAGAACTCAGATTTAAATACTGTTTGTTGTTCAGTTCCCTAAACTTATTATATAAATTCCCGAAAAGCGCATAAAAGAGATTAGCAAACCCATCGAGCACTACCATCGAATTCGAAAAACCCTCTTATTAGTACAGTTTCGTCAATATAAGCCTTATCTGTAATAATAAAGTTATAATGATTTTGGATTATACTGCATGCATATAGCATATTTAAATTTTAGCTGAAACCGGGTCTTTTATAGTATTATCAGTTAACCCAGGATGTTTATAGTCGGTACTAATTGGAATCAACCATTTACTGCGAAACAAACTTTACTTTTTTATGATTTGCTAAGCTGATCTAAGCTAGTATGCTTTGCTACATGAATATACACAGAATTATAGTTTTTATTTCTCAAGAACAATAGCAATCGATATATTGGAAAATATTCAAATGTTAAATATCTTGTAAGATGACACATTATAATAATTATATAAAATCTACATATACTAATAGTAAAAATACTTTTTAACAATAAAAGTTCAGTACAATTTTAAATAAAACATAGGAAGTGATGATTTAACAAACGACATTCTAATTAAATTTTGTTTTGTTCGAATTTCAAATCGTAAGTAGCTTAAAAGATCCTATATAGTACCGTTTAAGAATTTTACGCTACATCAAGTATACGACTACACGAAGACACAGAAAAATTCAGCTTAGGTCGAGGAGTTAGACAAGGAGACAATATTTCACCAAAATTGTTCACGGCAGCTCTAGAGTCAATATTTAAGAGCACTCAATGGCAAGATATGGGCATCAATATAGATGGAGAAAGATTAAACCACCTAAGATTTGCAGATGATGTTGTATTAATCGCAGATAATTTACAAGATACAGTTTCTATGATGCATTCGCTTAAAAGTCTGTCTGAAAGAGCAGGATTAAAGATAAACTTTGAGAAAACTAAACTTATAACAAATCTCGTAATGAGTGGAAATATAACTATTGACAATAATAACATACAACAAACAGACACTTACAAATATCTGAAACACGAAATCAAAATAAGCAGAGACAATCAAACACACGAAATACAGAGGCGAATAGGAATAACTTGGGCAGCATTTGGCAAATTAAGCCATATTCTAAAAAGTTCAATTCCCATGTGTCTCAAGCGAAAGATTTATGACCAATGTGTTATACCTGTACAAACTTATGGAGCGGAGACTTTAACACTCACGCAAAAATCTGCGAATAAACTCAGATTTACACAACGAGCCATGGAACGTGCAATGCTGAACGTGAGCCTCCGAGACCACATAACAAACCAACAAATCAGGCAAAGATCAGGAGTTCAAGACGTCATCGAAAGAACCACGTCGCTTACGTGGAACTGGGCAGGGCACTTAGCCAGAGCACAAGATGGACGGTGGACAAGACGTATTATGGAATGGAGGCCCAGAAACTACAAAAGAAGCCGAGGACGACCACCGACTAGATGGTCCGATGATATAAAACGTGTAGCGGGAAACTGGCTACAAGCGGCCCAGTGTAGAGAACACTGGAAATAACTTAGGGAGGCCTATGTCCAGCAGTGGACGCGATTGGCTGATTGATGATGAAGGCCTAAATACGGACATATAGTAGATCCGAATTCTTACTTAAATAACTATTGTAAAAGTCTTGTAGTGATAGAATATTCAAAAGCATAGGTCTTGGTATTTTAAAATGCAATGCAATATTTTATTTTACAAGAAGAACCACAAAGGTATGCAAATAATATTGAGACATTAGCCAATAATTTAGAAAATTTGGAAAAATGATCAGAATATTAAAGGGCAAGACGGAATATGGACTTTCCATCATAACCAAAACAATCAAGTTCATGGAATTAACCAACGAAATCGTATTGAACACTGTTCTTTAAAGCACGTATTTGGTAGAAGCCCCAAATACTGACTAGATGTGACCTATAAAGTGTCCTATATTAGGGTATTAAATAATGGATGCGTAATCGAGAGGCAATGAAAATACTTAACTCCTTTGAAATATGGTGATATCAAAGGATTTTTTCTTTGAAGGAAAAAAGATCTCATGAATGGGTAACCTCACGAAAGTTTTAGGAAGTTTTAAGAATAATGAAAAAAAGTTGAAAATCCAATAAAAAAAATGCAATATTTCAATGCTTACAAAGCTAAGTAACAAAATATGAGATAAATCCTGTAAAACTGAAACCAGAGTCTATGTTTGACGTTGAAAGAAATGTTATACACTGTGACTGTAGACGTGAATTCGATAATGCTTTGATAAAATATCTTTGTGAATTGTGCGACATAAAACTAACCTTCTCAAGTGTGGGCCATCCACAATCTAATGGTTCTGTCGGAAGATTTCACGCAATCCTAAGTGAAATGGTAAGAGCTAGCCAAGCCGAAAATCCCGATGAACATCCTTTCAATGTTCAACCTTATGCAGTTATTTGCTACCATAACACAAAAAACAAAACCCACGGATTTACACTGTACGAACTCATTTTTGGGCATACTTCTTTTAGACCACCCGAAATTCTTTTAGACCACCCGAAAATAATCGTATGAAATATTTCTATAAAGTGGCACGAGCCAAGACTTAACGACAAAAAGGAAAGGGCAAAGAAAGATTCGATCCACACGTGTCATCAAACCCTCCAGAATATAAAATAGGTGAAAAGGTTTACGTCAAGGAATCTCACATAAAGCCAAAGCACTACTAATTCGGCAGACAGAGTGAATTAGCAGACTAAATTCTGCTACTTTATTAAATACGCAAACCAATAGAACAATAAAAGTGAATATTGATAGATTAAAACCCTATAAATAGTAATTTTCTTTCAGATTCCTCGGACTGATTCCAGTCATGCTTTAGGTACTGTCATCAGAGAGTACCTTTATCGTGATCAAATGTTAAGCTCATTTCCCATGACATACACGAAATATATTTACAAATAATTATCCATATCCCAACTACCAATAGGTCTTCACCGACTCAAGTAAAGTACAACTTTTGTAACTTTTGTGTAAAAAAATAAAATAGACAAATTTAGATGTGGTTAATTTCTGTGCTTTATATAAAGCTTTCGCATAGATAAGAACGACATTATACAAGTTTATTATAATTAAAATAATATTCTTATATAAGTATAGCAGAAAATGATTTTTCCGACAAATATGCGTACGAAGTAGTAAAGGTCCTATAATTATAATCACCATAAAAACCAAGATTAAAGCTCCAAGATTACATTTATAATAAAAAAAGGTTTTAAATTAATGCAATAGAAACTGACAGGAAAATTCTTCTGGATAATAATAATAATAACTGAACTCTTTTCTGAAGATACCTCGGGTGAACAATGGATTCGATGCTCCAAATGTTTTAAGTGGGCTCAGATCGATTGCACCAATGTAGATAAAAAAGACACATATATTCGTGATTTCTGCATCGATGGCTAATTTTATCCTGTTTTCCTAATATACGGTATGAGGAACATTTTTCTTGTCATTCTAAATTTACCGTTTTTTATAAAAAATTAAATTTTATTTTTTATTTCATAGAAATAATTTATTTTGGTT